AGAACCAGCGCAGCGGGCAGCAACTCTACAAGAACATGTAAGGTTCTTGGAGAGAAGATCACTGAAATCTGTGCTGTATTTGTGATACTGTTTACTTAATTAAATCTACACATAATGGCCTTTTCTTACCATGTCAGTTTCTTGAAGTCATCGCCTTTCAGTGATACCTTTTTAGAGCGAGCTGAGCTGTTGTCCCCATTTTGGGAACAAATTAAACTGTTAAGATTTTCTGCACTTTGTTTTTTTGTTGAGTACACCATTCTGTGATAGCAAAACATAATTTGACACAGCAGAGTATAACATGACAACCTTCTGTGCACAGCTAATCCATTTCTTTCTCTTCAGGATGGATTGCCTCATAAAGACTGTCAGATCTGAAGGCTACTTTGGCATGTATAGAGGTAAGACTAGTCAGACTGGCCAAACTTAACCTTTATAATTTGTGATTGTTGAATAATTGCCTTGAATAAACTTAGCCTACTTTTGCGAAGTTAAGTAAGAGTTTATACCAATTATATGTGCAAATGTCATTGTCTGATTTACAACCTCTGTGATCCAGGAAGTGGAATTAATATCCCTCACAGACAGACACCCTGTTGCCTGTTCATTTGTTACACCTACTCTTCCTGTTTTATGAAATAGATTATTTGTTTCATTTATCTCTGCTATGCAAAATGTGCTGACTGGCTATGGTTCAACGAGAGTGGTTGCGTTTCTTTTTTAATCAAAATGAAGTTTTGTCATGAGCAGTGCTTGTTGTTGCAGGTGCTGCAGTAAATCTCACCCTGGTAACCCCAGAGAAGGCTATCAAGCTAGCTGCTAATGACTTCTTCCGCCACCAGCTGAGCAAAGACAGGTGAGTTGGTAGGACTGTAAAAGACAAGAGTCTTGTATTGCAATGACGTTCTTGTCTTGTAAGTTGGTGTCTGTGTCTTCAGCGGCAAGTTGACGGTGTTCAAGGAGATGTTGGCAGGATGCTGTGCAGGAATGTGCCAGGTCATTATCACAACACCCATGGAGATGCTCAAGATCCAGTTGCAGGATGCTGGCAGGCTAGGTAATTACAAGACAAAGCAGCAGAATACATTACCGGCATTAAATCATGCTTTGGGATGTTACTTTTTACACCTTGTTTCATGTTTCTTGCTAGCGGCCCAGCAGAGGGTGATGCCTAGCGTGGTAGCCACTCTGAAGATAGGGGGGACCAGTGCTGTTCTCAGCCGTGCTTACAACACCAGTCCTGCACCTCAAGTCATGCGAGTGTCCGCCACAGAGATCACCAGAGAGCTGCTGAGGACCAAAGGAGTCACGGGGCTGTACAGGGGACTCGGGGCCACGTTGATGAGGTGAGATGTGGCCTTGCTTCAATAGTTTTTCCATCCTTGGTTAGCGGCCTCTTACTTTAGTGAATATGCTTGTCTGTTGTCTTTCCAGGGACATGCCATTCTCCGTTGTGTACTTCCCTCTTTTCGCACATCTGCACCAGCTCGGCCAGCATTCATCTGAGGACCCATCTGTGCCCTTCTATTGGTCCTTCATGTCTGGCTGTGCGGCTGGATCCATTGCTGCAGTAGCTGTCAGCCCCTGTGACGGTGAGGGACTCGATCCACACAGAGATATCTGCTCGATGTTTGGGGAACTGGGAACTGATGTTTCGCAGATTTGTATAAATTCTCAACTGAAATAAGTTTTGTTTACGTCTTGTGCAGTGGTCAAGACAAGGCTACAATCGCTCAAAAAAGGAGCTAATGAGGAAACCTACAATGGAGTGGTGGACTGTGTCAGGTAATCCTATCTTTATTATTGGATTTCCAGCAGATATAACTGGGATGAGTCAAGCATTGTGCCTTTGCCCCTCTGGCGTTGGCACATAATGGCATAAGTTCCACGCTGACCCTGTACTCTCTCCTCTATTGCAGAAATATCCTGAGAAAGGAGGGGCCCGGAGCGTTCCTCAAGGGGGCCAGTTGCCGGGCCCTGGTTATTGCTCCACTCTTTGGCATTGCCCAGGTTGTGTACTCTGTAGGAGTTGGAGAGTTCCTGCTGGGGTACACCCCCCACAACATCTACTCTGCATAAACAAGCTGTTCCCTTAGTCTTTCTGCCGCCTCATTAAATTACAGGCAGTTATGGACCCAGCTCTCCATTACTGTGTACCTCTTTATTGCTGGAGGTTTTCAGAGTAAAACGCTAAAGGGACCAGAGAGATGCCATTTTATTTCAAAATGGTTTCAAATTATGCCTTTTAGCATAACTATCTCTTATTGAAGAGAGGGAGATTGAAACACACCTGTCCATATGGGCTTCAGTGGAGCTTATCGCGAGAAAGGAATCGCTTTCCTCACTGAGGGACTTGATAGTCCAACATAGATCACCATTTTACCCACGTTAGACTTGAGTCCACTCCTGCGGCACCAAACCTTTCCCCCCTCTTTCCTTAGATTTAGACCGTACCCCTAAATGCACCCCGTATCACTTACCCTCCACAGTAACCCTAACCTGTGTATACCTCCCAACTGCCCCATCTTGGCATTCACTCGGTGATGGCTGTCACACGGTGTTGCAAAGTGTGCGAAGGAGCACCAATTAACAACGGCAGAATATTGAAACTTCACTTGATTAGCTTCAATCCTGTTTTAAAGGGTTACATGTGAAACTGGGCCATGGATGTTGATCCCGGTCTGTGTACTGTATATAGTGTATTTGTTTTTAAAGTAGATGTAATTTGGTAAATAACGTTGCTAACAAAATGATTGCCACATGCTGTCTTCTAAACAGGTCGGTTGGGAAAAGACCTGGTGGCATATATTCAAAACAAACATTTGGATTTCCTCCTATCCACTGCTATGCTACACAGTGAATCTGTGCTGCATTACTTTTCCGTAACAAGGAGTGGTTTTTCCACGCTTCTAAATAGTTTACCCATTCTCAGTATCTACACCGCTCTTTAAATAGTTGGTCACAACACAATACCCTAGCGTAGAAGCTTTCTGGTGTTTGCTCTGAAAAATAATTGCGGTTGAGGTGTTTGGGGTTTTTACTGGGCACTGTGAATCTTTCTGTGGCAGCCTATACACAACTCTTACGTAACTTGCAAGCTAAACAGTTCAGTGAGGCCCACTACAGTTGACTTTGGAGAGCAGCTTTTTGTGATGAAAGCGATGTTGTTAAATGTCGTTAAACTAGAGTGATGATGGACAAGACTCTGAAGTGCTTTTGGGACCAAGTCGTTGGGGGGGGGGGTAGAAAAAAAAAAAGTGCAACATGACCTCTGTAGTCTCTTTCTCTTAGTTGACTGTGACTGCTCAGGTTTTCTAGTCAGTTAGAAAATAGAGGAGCTCACACAAATGTATCATGATCGGCACTTCGAGGCAGAACTGAGTGCAGTGTCGGGCCGCACTCTTTTATTTCTGGCAAATTTCATGGGTCAAAGTACTTTCAGCAATTTTACCAATGTAAATATATATATCCTGTATTTGTTCAGTTTTCTCAAACTGTGTAAGTTGAATTCAAATTGAGAACAATTTTCAACATTTCAACATGTCGAAACCAGTTGAGAAGATAATTATCTATTTTCTAAGTTCATTTTAGAATTACGCATGTAAATACAGATTTTTAAATGCCGAATAAATATTTATAAATGCAGTGTTTTATTTGTGTTGTTTGTGGAGTGGAGTGCGTGTAGCCTGAAGTGTTGCATATTATAGTGTACGTTATAGTGTTCATTCATGCATTCTCAGGTAGGGCTATTGGGACAGGTTGACTGTATACTAGTGCTTTTTCTGATGCAAGCTTGAAAGCTGTTACCCTACTCCCCCACACATGCATCACTGGCAAGGATAAGTTAGTGGCAGTGAAAATGCTCATGCTGCAGTGTTGGGGTAACTCTACACTGGGTATTCCTCATCGCACGCATAACTATTCACTCAGCTAAATATTCAGCTGCCCTTTAAGCTCAAGTGCAGAAAGATGAAACTCTTGACATGAGACTCATGCGACTAAACCTGGAAACCTACTTAATCACACGGGATATCAAATACAATCAACTGGGAGGAAATATAAAAGAAATCACTTTAAGATGTAATAAGTTAGAAGTTTGAATGTGTATAAAATGATCTTAAATGTTACATTGAAGATTTAAATTCTAAACAAGCTGCATTAAAATCATAATCTGTGTAAATATAACTCATTCACACCACCCCAGTGCCCTATTTTCTATGTACTACAGCCAATTAGTCCTCATGTGCCTGGGGGTCATCCCATTCCTGATTCTAAATTTGTACCTACAACTACAGTATACACAGCTAAATTTAGAAATCTACGTTTTTATGTTTTGTTCTAGACAATTTAAAAAATCGTTTTAAAATGTCACATGAAATTATCAGCCTGTGTAAATTACGTTTGGCTTGATGTGGAGGTTGTATTTCAATACTGGAGGTCACTGGAAGCGGACTTCCTGGTATATAAGCCATGCTGCGAGCAGAGTATGTGACTGAGGCCGTGTGTGTAATGGTGGACTGATGCTGACTGATAAAGAGTCACAAGTAAAATAAGAAAAATCCCATGTAAAGATACTTGTCAGAACCAGAAAAGTAAATTAAAAAATTCTTCAACTATTAAAAAAACGTTTGTTTTTTTTGTGTGCCATGCAAATGACCTTTGAACCTTTTCCAAAAAGGCCTACGCTGTTTTTTAATCAACAAAGATATCCTGACACATCTGTAAACCTGCTGCTCCCTTGGAAGAAGACATCTGACACACTGTCACATCACTTCAGTAATGGACCAGTGTGTCCTTCTTAATTAATTAATTAATATAAACTGACAATGTTGGAACATGTACAACCTTTGTGATGAAAGAAGGAAACTCTGACACAGGAAACTCTGTAAAACTTTAAAAGCTTTATTAAACTTCAATCACCTATCTTCCTGAGAAGCCTGGAATGGTATTAAAATAAATTAACACACAATCAACTATGAAAGGCTCGACTGTGTACACAGTTTTTTTTTTTTTTTTTTTTTTTTAGGAGCACAGTACATTACATCTCCAGATTTGCTCAAAACAAATATAACTGAGGAACACAGCAACAGCATTGTGGATTGAGTAGCACTAAACTGTTCCTCGTTCCTTTTCCTATTTTAGCTCCACAGAGCCTCTGGAGTGACAGTCTAGTGACTCTGTTGTGTCATCTCCGTCCTCAGAGTAAACACTGCCTACTGTCATCTTAACAGCCTGAAGTGGTAATTAAGCCTTTGTTGTGTCCTCACATGTTTAACATCACACTAAAATGTGAACAAAAAAAGCGAAAATAATATTCACAAGTGCTTGTGTCCCGTATAGTTTGATCATCTGGACTTCATCAACATTCAGATTATTGTTTAGAGTCCTGAGAATAGATTTTTATTAGTACCAAAAGGCTTTTGAAATAGTTGGAAGAGAAAACTGTTCTTTTCACCACTTCAGCTCTCTTGGCTGAGAAGACACAGTCGAGTGCCACGCTCAAAAACACACCAAAACAATAATGGCAAGTCGAGCCATATGTGCTACTCGTCCACTGTGTATGACAATTAATAGCGGTCCAACTCTACAAACATATGTACACTTCTGCTACGTTCAGACAGCCTGTTGTTCAAAAATAGCTGGATATCGAAGAAAGGCACGTTAAGAGACTGTTTTGGCTGTGTGGATCTGGTTTGACTACACTGTCATGACTAAAACATGGTATAACTACTGCAAGCGTCTGTCTACACACAGCATGTTAAATAGTAACTATCACATCAGCCACAAATAATGTACAACTACAAAAAACAAACAAAAAAAAAAAAAACTCAAACATATTTACATACTGGAGTCCTGACACTTGGAATAAACCCTTCAAATTCAAACACTGGCCTGATTTAACCTGGATAAATGTGTCTCTATCCAACAGCCCTCCTATCTGCTGAGGTCAATAAAATGGGAAGAATACAGGGGTGATTTCCTTGGGGTTTTTTGTTGTGGGCGGTGTACTTTTAAGGCACACAGGGGGAACAAGATGGAAGAGCTGGGAAGACATCAAAGATCTGGCTCGGATAACTGGATTTCACAGTGACAGCACCTATTCTCAGTTGACCGGCTAGTGTATGTATAGCCTGAAAACATATCCATATGTTCTAGCTCCAGGGTACTCTCTTACATAAGGGAGCACACATATTATTAAGGGTAGGAAGTGGTATTTATCTCACCGAGTTGCTTCGCCGAATAGACGAGGAGCTTTTCCTTCGGGATGACGAGGGAATTTGGTTTGTAATTCAGTTGGCGTTTTTTTTTTTTTTTTAAATCATCTTCGAAGGATCAGACCAGCGTGTCTGCAAGTTTTACCTCTGTAACTGCAAATCATGCACACTTCATGGTTTTAGATGTTTTTCATTTCTGCTCAACAGACGACTCTTGAAACTTACTTGAATTGTATAAACCCACCACAGTGAACATTTCTGAAACGTTCCAGTGTTGTTTTCAAAGGGGTTAACTTTTAATGCAAACTGTGCATGATTTGTAGTAAATGAACTAAAACAGGCAAACCCACTGGTCTGGTCCTTTAAAGGAATAGTTCAAGATTTTAAGAAATATGCTTTCTTACCAAGAGATAGAGGAGAAGATCGAGACCACTTTGTGTGGAAAATATAAGGCTACAGCTGAATAAAAACTGGACACAAGAGGTCGTTTGGCTCTGTAAAGTGATAACACAATCTCTCCAAAATGATCCACACAGAGCCAGGCTGGCTATTTCCCTCTGTTTCCAGTCTTTGTGCTTAGCTAATCTCACCAGTTGCCGGCTGTAGCTTCATACTTATCGTACATGGGTTAGATATCTTCTAATCTAACCCTCAGTAAGGAAGTGAATGAGAGTATTCCCCAACAATATTGAACTATTCCTTTAAGATAACTGTGGATTTTCCTTATAAAGAGCAACCTGTGTTGATTGCATAGTTCGCGGAGTGCGTATACAGCATGTTGTATGTGTGTGAGTAAGACCATTCGGGCTGCATGATGGATGCATTCTCGAAACATTCACGGGCCATTCCCTCTCTTGACACTCAACTCTGATTCCACCAATCAGGACTCCCTACGAGACGCCAGACAAGGCTGCCGTCTCACGTAACACAACATTGCTGTGTTTATGTGTGCGCATCCGTGTGTGTCTTGATTTGTGTGTGCACAGATAAGCACACACAGCTGCCTTCACCTCGGATTGCTCTCTCTGGGCTTAAGTTTCCCACAGCCACAGGGTCAGTGTCAAGGCAGTGTGAAAAAGCATTGACACTCCTGTGACAGTATGTGGGTTAAAATTTGTAGTGGTAGCCAAATGGCCATGAGGAAAAACAATCTGACGGATTGTCAGGGCAACATCGCAAATTATTCTGTTCCTACTGGAAATGTGAATTAAAGTCAACTCTGCTACTTAACTTGTGACGGCAAATAAATAAATAAAATTTCAGAGAGAATAAAGATCAGGTCAGGAGAGCTGAGTTGAGCACCGCAGACGAAACGGAAGTTTTAGAGCATGGTCAGTTTCCTGGGTCGCTGGGTGGATGATGGGACAGGGGTTGACATTTTATCTGATGGCTGTATAGTCTCTCGGGGGTTGAGTAAAGGAGGGGTGAGGGGTACAGGTCAAGGATCCAGCTTAGATGACCTCCCTGCTGTTGCGAATGGCACAACAGAGTACCATACTGAAGATCATCCCAATGATCTATTGAGAGGGAAAGAGATTTTTTATTAATTTTTTTGGTAAATAAAACAATTCTCGATGACAGTCTGCGTGTGTCTGTGTGTTTTCAACTCTTCTCAGATCCAGACTCACCATGACTCCAGCAATGCCGATGCCCACGTACCCGATGATGTAGAGCTTACTGTTGAAGAACTCCTTGATGCCTGTCTCACAGTCCTGCAGAGCAAAGATAAGAGGAGTCAAGCAGTGTTAAGCCCCGAGGGAACCAGGATGTTTTGTATGGCACCATGACTCATTCATTCAACAACAAAAGGGCAGAATGGACCTGGCATCCTGAGTCTGGAGCTGGTGACAGATCTTACCTTGGTATCCGGTTGGGGATCAGGGCAGGGGTTTGCGGTGGTTCCGCAACAGTTCAGCTGAAAGTGGGAAAAAAAATATAAGAGGATGAAACATATCATAAGCTATTAGCTTGTGCTATTTTCCTGTCAAAGGTTAGCCTAAATGTGTTGTTTTTTTTACTTACTACTTTCTGGTATGAGATGATCAAAGTGCTGTTATTGTTTTCATTGTAAGTTGTTGTGTAGAAGTTCTGAACGTCTTCGACGATCTGTGTGAAAGAGGAAGAGCGAATGGCGTGGTGCAATCAGAACTTCTCACACTTATTGTAATATGTTAAAACATCATATTAACTACTTAAGCTATGAAATAACAAACGTACTTTGTCTTTGTTTAAGAATCCAAACACCCCCGCTGCCACCTCAGCTCCAAAGATGATCAACAAACAGGCAAAGAACTGAAAAAAAAAAAATCCACAGATGAAAGTAAGTACACAATACTTGTAAATAGGATACAGATGCATTTCAGTTCAGTTTTTGCTCATGTGTTTGTGTGCATATGCACTCACTGAACCCAGCAGGCACTGAGATTCCCGCACAGCTCCACAGCAGCCAAAGAAACCAACCAACATCACCAGGCTGCCAGCACCAATCAGTATATACACACCTGGGGGAACAGGGAAAAAGAAGGTTGTCACTTACATCCGCTAAGGGCAATTGTAAACGAGACCTTTAGTCACGAGGAAAATACACGTCAGAATATCATTTATTTTGAGAGATTTTGTACATTAACATAATTAAGATAAGCGGGACTAAAATGGTGCATTCTCTTTGCTTCTGTGTGTTGATTCACCGTGACATCTCTGTTAAAAAATGCTTCGCTTTTCTCCTCTAGTTCATCTGGCAATTTTCATTTGCTACAACACCAGCAGGTGGCAGCACAGAGCCAAGAATGTGAAGTGAAGCGGTCAGACTGGCTCAGACAGTGGCATTAACATTTCAGACTGTACTATTTCTGTGGTCAGCTGAACAAATGGCAGCAAAGTGACTGATGCTTTGTCAGATCCCTTTTTAGAGCCACTTGTTGCCACTTGTTTTACAAGGCATACGAGATGCCTTGTAAAAAGCCTTGTTAGCATGATCCTGTTTTAAGTGGCAGCTCTTAGTGGGACGCTTCATGTCCCGTAGATGCCCTTATCTCCTCTAAACCCTCTCATTAGGAAAAGTACATCATGGGTAGGTCTGCAGGGAGGAACCCAACAACAGATTGGTTCCACAAGTGTGCTCTTACACAGGTGGGGTCTGTTGCTAGGCGACAGCTCTGTAGAGGACGGGGTGAGAGAGGACGCATCAGCCCCCAGGTGATGACATGGGCTCATGTGGGAAAGAGTAAGGAGGATCGGTTCATAGGATCCCAGTGTGTCAACAAAAAGACTTGATGTGATACAATAATTGAGATGGGAGTGCCATTTCCTTTGTTGCTAGGAAGGACAGTTTAGTTGCCAGCTGGAGGTGTCAAATGATCAGTCAGCAAGCTGCTGACAAACGATGCTGCCGCATTCACACAACTTAACAAGATGCGGTTTCTACTTTCTAAGAAGACTGTACTGCTTTTCTCTTTATCTAGCTCTTAGTCTGAAGTTGTTCTCATTTTCTTATCATACATCATTCAAAGTACGCAGAAGGTATGTCCTGGGCCTGAAGCCATGGGAACGAGGCATAGCAACTGTTGAGTGCTCTCAGCTGTCAAAGCCATGTGTAGCACTATACTCTCAGTGGACCTGACAGAGGCCACTCATCCTCTGTCGACACACATGGACATCTGAGTCTCGGTCCACACACAAACACAGGCAGACAGAGAGAAGTGATGAAATAATGTTACACTATTATAGGACTCACTGTACTACAACAACAATCACTAGGGAAACACTTGTCCGCCATTACACAACGATATCACCCTCAGCAGTACAGCTGGATTTGGGAAAGAAAAGAAAGTGCCAATCAGTCAGAGGGCTGAAAAGAATAGTTCAGTGTGGAGACGGTAATCCCATGCTGGACGGCTAAACACCTCTCTCTCCTCTTCTCGCCCATTCTGCACTGTCATTTCATCTGACGTCCCATCTTGTTTTTGATACAAACTTTTGCCACGGATCCCCATCTGTTTCTATGATTGTCTTCTTCCATATGCCTTTTCAACTGTCCCCACTCCTCCCCCCTGTCTCTCTCTTTCCATCTGGGGAGGGTGACTGATTGAAAGATGGTTAGCAGCCATGTGGTTTCCCTTGTGCATTTATGCATGTAAAGCACCCATTTCCTGTTATTCACACTAATAATAGAAAAAGTGTGAGAGGATGTTGAATTGAACTGAATATATTGAAAAAATATTCTGAAATTTATTTGTGTATGGCAAAACTTGGTACTGGGACACCCCTCAAACTGGGACAATCATATACGTCAAACATTCACACATAAAAAGACAGACTTCTGTAGAGGCAGGGGATATTTGTTTCTGTGTGTGTGTGTGTGTGTGGGCTTTTATATGTGGTAATGAAGTGTGTATTTCTGCGTGTGCATGGAGGGCGACCTGTGGTCGGAACATCCCCTCTGACACAGAGGCAGACATTTATTCACAGGCAAACCCAACATTTTGACATAGCAATACAGAGCTTTAATTTTCAGAATTGTTATTAAAAATGCCGCGTTATCTTCAATACAGCAAAAATAAGAGAATGGCCTTGAATTTCCATTTTCCATTGATGATATCAGTCAGCATAAAAGTCTAATTGCTGATATTTTATAGGGAAACAACTGAACTTTCCTTGGCCCATTTAGAGTGGTTTCCCAGCTGCATATGTTTAAAACACAAACCCAAGCAGTGCTTTACAAGAAAAAAAAAAAAAACCAATGCGGTGATGAAAACACAATTTATCATTTCAAGTTGACAGCAACAGCATTTCCACAGATTTTCAGCTAAACCTTTGGTGAACTATTCAACACATGTACTGAATTATGGCCTCGTGTTGAATGTTATTATTAGGCCCTACACATCTGTGTGTACATCGACTGTGGAGATTAGCCGAGGTGTGTTATGGTACTCACCAATGAAGAAGGTGTCTGGAGCCTTATCACCATTGAGCAGAGACACAGTCTCTGGGTCAAAACGTAGCCACAGCCCCACTGCCAGAACAAAGGATCCCATCAACTGAAGGGAGATAGGACAGAAATACATACAATGAGATGTGCTACGTGGAAAATACGGAGAAAAAACAAACAAATGCATAGCAAGTGGTCTGGAGTCGTGCACTCTCGAGACTTGTGTGTATGCAGACTTTAATTGCAACCAAACCCTAATAAATACCGACTGTATTCCCTGACTAGTCTCCCCCCGTCCTCCTTTCTACCCGTTCTGGTTAAAGATTTAACAATCACTGAATAGGCAGATGGTTGGAGAAACACACTGGCTAAAAAGTAGATCAGTTTTCTGTTATGTATCTGATAGTGAAGCATGTTTTTCATATCATTTTTATCCTGGCTTAAGGTCTGACATCATTTGCTGTGAATCGGTTTCCGCACTAATCACAAAGGCAATGTTCTTTTCATCTAAAGCACAACAGTGTAAGTGTATGTTTTTCAGGTCTTCAGAGGGCTCGTTCTTTTGCTCTCCCTGAATGTGATTTTCCACATAACGACAGCAACCGGTGCTGTGGAGTTTCCACTCCAGCCCTCCGCCCTTTGCACCTAGGCAACAGAAATATCATTTCATTAAGAGGTAGTTAGGCTAAAATTTCATATATTGTGTCAAACAATAGGTCTGGCTACATGGGTGGATTATTAAAGTGTTCTACAACAATAGATCCCAGCAAAGTGCAACTTGTGTAACTTTCAATCAGCCCTTGGCGAGCTCTGGCTTCCCAGTGGGGAGAAAATGACCCGCTTGGCTGTGGGCAGCAGTGTGGCACCTTGAGCTGAAACAGGCTCTCCTGTTTGTTTGGAAATGCGGTTCCATGTTGCTCATATTTTCCTTCATCTAAACCACCATTACTATACATCGGATACAAAATCATACTCCCGGCAATGCTCTTGCTTTTTAGGGCTAACTGACTACAGCTATTATTTCTCTAAAGTGGTCATAGGAGCTTGGAGTAAATACTCCTTTCTGAGACCTAAGATGCTTTCAAGGGCTGAGACTGGGGTGGGTGCTCCACTGACAGATCAATACTGAGAGGTTTTAGTGATCACTGAGCCCAATGCCCCCTGAGGATAATCCAGTCTAAAAACCTTTTTGAGCTGAGCTTCAAAACAGATAGTGTCTATGTGTGTGTATGTGTGTAGATAAATGAAATGATTTGTCTAAATGGACCGTATTTAGGAGTGCTCGTCACATGGTCTCTCTGTGTCCTAGATCTCAGAGTTAAGGTAGACCGCTGTTTGTGTGACTGTTTGTTTTTTGTGTCCCTGAGCTCTGTTAGTTGAATTCATCCAGAGAAACAAACCCCGTTGCCAAGTTCAGGCCAAAACAAACAGTTCCATGACTGTATCTTTAATTTACTTTATGACCTATTGTTCACCAAATCTACCCTACTCATTTCTGGTTCTGTAATTTCTCTAATTTTGGTCTTTATCTTCTGTATCTCCTCCTCATCACGGCCTCCACTCCTCTTCTCCTGCACTCCAGGTTATATTTTATGGTGTTGGTCTGAAGTAAAACCAGTAGCTCAGTTGTAAAGCATCGAAATGGGACAGGTGTTGGGAAGCTGGCTTCCTCCCAGACTGAGGATTTAGTGTTTTGCCTGGTGATGTATGGGACAGCTGAGCTTTTGGAGTTTCAGGATTAGCAGGTCCAAAGTGATAAAGCACTGTGAAGTGAAGGCTGCAGATCTGTAGACTTACTGAACCAGGCTGGATTGGTCCAGTGAGGGGCTCTGGATCTATTTAACAGTGGTATTTGCCGGAACACCTGATGGTGCAATGGTGTTGGTGGAGGTGTGAGGTGAGCAGGACTACTGCCCACTGAATTGTGTTCATATGCACGCAATGCTAGAAGAGCTGGGTCATCCCAAACTGCTGTAGATTGTGTTCACGCTGTATGGAGGAGCAGGTGGTTGTTTCACAGTTGAAAAGAGCTTAGAGCTCGGCCAAACCTCATTACTGTTATGGCTACATTTAAAAAGCTTTTCAAAACCAGATGCATAGATGGGTCTCATTATGAAACAAGGGGGGCTACGTCCAACACTGCCTTCAGTAGCTGACACACTAAATGGATTCACAAGGCACTCCTGAGCCTCACTATCCCATAGGTCCCATTAACCCCGTCACTGCTTACAATCAACCCCCTCCTGCTTTACCCCCCACCACTTCGTCTGCCATCATTACCCAGGCTGACACCAAACACACCCCTCCCTCCTCCCTGCTTCTCTACTTCCCGAATCTACGCCCCTCACCCCTCTGACTTATCTCTGTGTGTCCCCCTCCTCTACCCCACCTCATCTCACTCCCTCCCTCCCTCCCAACCTCACCCAAAGGACAAAGACCCACTGTCTCCCTGTGACTATATGCACACAATAGGAGGGAAACAGACAGACACAATGAAAGAGAGGGAAGGGAGAGGAAAAGAGAGAATAACTTATTAGAGGACCCATCACCTTTTTTTTTCTTTGCCTGAGGACATAGACTACAAGAGCATGTTGTCCTGAGACAAAGATAAAACTCTAACCCGTGTTCTGTATAGGTACTGTATAGTCTATACGTCCTCTCTTTCTGTCCTAACACCTGTGAAGATTGTATGTCTGGGTATTCCTGGATGGGGATGGAAATCTGTGTTGAAGCTTTATTGAGGCTCTTTTACGGTTTAAGGCCTACTTTTTAACAGTGCAGTTAAATAGTCTTTTTGTGAGGGGGAATTTCCATGAGAACAGGGGCTGAGCTGACACAGGGTTGTGGTGTTGGTCAGAGACAGTCTGCGGCATTATCCACTTTCTAGGTTAAACCTTATTTTCAGGAAAAAAAATCAAATAAAAAAAAAAAAAAGTTAAAAATGTAAAATTAAAAGAACAGGATATGAAAGCAAAACTGTTGTAAACACCATCTTTAAATCCCGCAGTAATTAGCGAGTGATTCAAGCTTGACAAAAATAGTTCTCTGTGTTGCCTGTCTGGCACATGTTTGTGAAAACAGATGCAAGTACACATTAAAAATGATGGGCAGAAGGAAAGTGTAAATAGGAGTGAGATAATTATGGGTGGAGTAAATCCCATTGTACTCTTCCATGGGGTGAGGGTGGGGGAGTGTAGTGGCACACAAACCTCAACAACACACACAAAAGTGTTTGCAGGGCTGAATACTGGAAAAATATTTAGTTTCCGTGTTCATGCTGATATCAAAGCCAGTACCAGAAATCTTCAAAATGTTTGAAAAGTCTTTTGATTTTTAACTAATGGCTGTGCAGAGTTATGCACAAAATTAGAAAGGAAAAATCTTCACTACTAATTGGAAATCTTTAAAGCAATAAAATATTCTTGCTTTAAAGGTATTTAAATTTTGTTTGTTAATTTAGTTTACTTGACAGTGAACAACATTACATCTCACTAAAGTCAGTCACATCAGTTGTGGTCTTTAAATATTAATATCAACTATAATATAGGGTAGTATCAATCAAACACAAATAATTCCAACAATAAAAATACCACGGCACAACACCACTTGAACATAACAAATAAACTCCTGCCAATTAAAATCTAACCAAGGGAGTCAGATCAGCTGCACTACACCCTGTACTGTACTGTATATGATTTGTAAAGTATTGTGAAGCCTGTAATTTATTACGCCTTTGATAAGTCATCCATCCAGGAAAAACAGGCATAATCAGATCGGCCCTGCACCAGACTTGATGCCAGAAGCTTCAAACAATCCCTGTGCATAAACTGAGACTGTCTGGCAAGAAACTTAGTCTGTTAAATTTCCTGAACGCACGTCATACACATGCTTGCCCTGCAGAGATATTGAGATATTATCCACAATAATAAAATAGGAAAAAGATAATTAACAGTGGCCCTAGTCCTTTACTATTAACCCCGGTGTTTTGCATAATTTTAGTTTTGAACCAAATACAACTTCCCCAAGTTTACCAAATGTAAAGGCCAAACAAAACAAACAACAGTGCAGCATCAGAAAATAACACCTACCGATCATTGACTTATCAGTGACTAACCCTAACAGAAACAGCCAGGGACCCAGGACGCTGCCCTGGGGGACACCACTAGTCGCAGAAAGTACAATGACAGTCCCAGCAATCTGAACTCTCCCAAAGACAAGACATTAGTCATGCAATTGCTCCTTTTATAAAGTAAAAAAATCTAGAAAACAATCATCTTGTCAGTCAAGAAGGGCAGGCACTGACCATTTACCTTATAGGCCAGGATATTACTATCAAAACATGGTGGCTGGTTCATATTTTGCTGCATCTGTGTGAAATGTCGGTAATTTAATTTAATTTAATTTAAACACAAGCCGTTGACCCCTTACTTACTGTTACTTCTGTAACAGCTAACTTTTGTTGTGTTATTATAATTTATATAAATCATCATTTTAAAATATGGCGGCAGCTCTGTTTTTAAATGTGCATTCTCATTTTGTGGAACTTGATATTACTTTTCATTTAGCTTGAGAAAATATTTGGTACATTACTTTAGGTTAAAGAGTTATATTATAATACTATTAAGTGTGTTTTACACAACAAATTAAAACATTCAATAGGCTATAAAGCAGCTGTTTTATTTAACATATTTTAGGTTCCTCTGAGATGAAGCCTGACATTTCCAGTGTGGACCTCATGCTCATAAAGAAGAGTAGCTGTGTGGCTGTTGACTGAAACTTTTGCAGCGCAACGAATGCAATGCAAGCAATGCACAAAACACAAACACTGGTGTGGCCTTGATGAAACTTTTACAGATAGACAATGACATTGTTTTTCATTGTTGGACAGGTAACTATTAAAATATTTGTAAATACCAACAGGATTCAGAAACTCCCAAACTGTGTCATATCATTTGTTTTTAATGAAGAGCAAGAAAACTGGGGGGAAATGTGTGGGCGAGACTCATCTTGCTGCACCTTTCACACATATCACTGTGAAGCAATGTTTGCCCCACACTGTTTGCCCTGTGGGCTTAATTTTTGACCAAATAGGGCAGTTAGTGAACTATAGCTCACAAACAGATCCCAGGGAAGCCAGTAAGGCATTGATGTTCTGTTGTAAGTGGGTTGTATTTGCAGCTATCAGTGTAATATATACAAAAGTTTGGCCTGTGTTACATTACTGTCAGTTTAGTTAATTGAGCCCTGCAGGAATCTCAGTACATCACAATGTTGTGACATGGAGGTTTTTAAACAAAGAGTAATGTATTGATTGATGAAAACAAGGGTGGTTAAGGGAATGACACTCCCTCATTATTCAGGTTCAAGTGTGTGTGTGTGTGTGTGTGTGTGTCAGTATGTTTAACAGCTCCCATCATCCCAGCAGCCTGTCTCTGCTCTACTGTCCGCTCAGGGATTTGAAGGGAAACATATCTGCCCCTCCTCCACCCGCTTTCATCACACACACACTCTTCTCATCATCTCTGACTCTACCATCAAGAGGGGGCTGCAGCCCAGGGGGGGATTGGGATGCTGTGATTATGAGCAGAGGGTGATCACTGTTTAGTTGTCATTGACAAAATATGGGGAATGTGCAGAACTCCCATAGAGACAGCACTGAAATATGGAGGATCATCAGTTTATGTTTATTTGTGTGTGAGGTTCTTTGTGTCATTTAACACACACAGACAGCACACATCCACAGAATATCCAACTATCCTCATACTGATCTATTTCCTATCTTTATCTGGGTCAAGTTCATGCCAACTGTCCCTCTTTTGCCATGTGAGCGCGCAAACACGCACATGAATATCCCTCTCAATCTCCCTATGACCCTTTTCTTTCCTGTCACATTAGTCGTGTTTTCTTCTTCTCTCACCAAGCATTCACTCTTGTCCTCCTTCTCCACCCTTTTCTCGTCCCTTCTCGTCTTCACCTGCCTGTCTCTGTTGAAATATGTCCACGCTCAGATGTATTAAAAGGAGATTTTTAGCGACAGACACACCCATCCTGGATGCAGGGGCAATAGTGTGAAGTGGAGAGTCAGTGGTGTGACCACTTGTGTTGTGTTTAGGTCTCCGGCAGACTCTGCTGCTTAGCCAGGCAGGAGCAACAGACTGAAGTTATGCTATTGTCCTGCTGTCACAATGGATCCATTCACGGTGCACTCAGCGCCTGATCCACTCCACAGATGCTTGTTGGAAAATTTCTCTCTCTCTCTCTCTCTCTCACACACACACACACACACACACACAAAGGAACTTCCCCTCTAAGGAGTGTGCACAGTGGCACACATAAGCCAAAGTGTGCTCTTACACACACACACACACACACAATCCATGGGGAGACCAACTTCTTGCAGACTTGAAATTAATGTGTGTTCATTTATAGCATTTAACAAGGATGTCAGGGTTTATGAAGGCATGAAGGCACATGTGCAAAGCATGTGTGCAGGACACACACACACACACACACACACACACACACACACACACACACACACACACACACACACACACCTTTCACATCCACCTGACAGTTTGTCTTGAGTAAAGTGTCTCCTTGTGAGTGGCCCAAGTGCTGCTTTAAATAATAAAATAGAAAAGGGAGCAGTTGCGGGCGTGATGCCCCAGGCTGGTTGTGACTTCACTTTATCAATCAGATCTGTGGTGTTTGTTAATGAAGCAATGTGACGCAAGGAGCCAACTGCTGAGTTTGTTTTCCATGCTGTCTCTCAGTCTCTCTCCCTCCCTCTCTCTGTCTTTTCATTCAGTCTTCCTTTCAAAAACACACTTCCCCGGGAAAAAAGGGGCGGGTTTTTTCCTCTGTGGAAAATCTGATTTGAACCCGGTGAGCCAAAACTAAAAAGCTCTGGCTGTCACCCTTTCCGCGCCACGCAGGGTAAACCCACGCCGGACGGCAACTAACCAAATAAAGCGCACTAGAGTCGGACGCGAGGATGAATGTCAGCATCGTTACTGAAAAACACGTGTCTGTGAAAGTCAGATGTACCGGGGTGAGGAGCCCGCCGCTGCTGCACTTGCTCCGTGTTCATTTACGCTCAACTCGCATCTCATCATCATCACCACACAACCCGCTGAACATGCACTTACCCAGAATATGAAGTTGAACACGAACAAAAGGTATTTGACGCATTTCATTCCACCTTCCACCTTCCCCATGTTGGCTCGATGCTGCTGTGTTCTGCCCTGATCCCCGTGAAACGCTCAGACGGTCGTGTTGGCTCCGCAGTGTGACAATAACGGTCCAGCCCGGTCACAACACTTGTGCATCAAGCAGCTCTGGCACTGTAACCCCTCTCTCTCTCTCTCTCTCTCTCTCTCTCTCTCTCTCTCTCTCTCTCTCTCTCTCTCTCTCCGTGTCTCTCTCTCTCTCTCTCTCTCTCTCTCTCTCTCTCGCTCGCTCACACGCACACACACACACATGGACGCGCGCGCGTGCACGTGTTCAAAACACCGCAGGATCCGCTTAGACTCTTTCCAGACCGCCCCTTTCAATAATACAGAGGGGGCCCAAAGGGGGGGGACCGAGACTATACGATGGGAACTTGGCAAGTGTTTGGCAGAAATGTCGTTCTCCCTGTAACGTAAAATCCTACCTTACTGATACACACTGACATTCACTAGCCTATATAGTAAGTAGCCTGCGCCCATTTCGTATTTGACTCCAAATGTGTAACCTCATGTCACACTGGGGCATTTAAATGTTAAATTCCCACGTACCAGGACTGTGATGACATCGTTTACGTTTTTATAATATTCTTAAAATATGCATGTAACCCACAAAATGGTGAGTTTTCTGGTGTTTTCTTATAATTCCTGTAGCATCAGATAGTTTTCCTACAATATATAGTGGACTGTTTTCCTCATGTTTATCATAGGATTAGCATATATTATCATATCATTATTATTTGTATTACTACACAAATATTCTCATGCACACATGAAGTAAGGGAACCAGCCTATTTGATGACAGAACATTTGGAAAGTCAGACTTCACACACTGCACAGCAAGTATTACTAAGACAGCAAATGAACAAGCCTATAGCTTAAGTGGAAATTGGGTGTATTAGAAAACAGTTCGCATTTACTCAACTTCCTTTTACAAGACAAACATGATGATAAGGTGCTGAGTCATTTCCTAACAGCAAGATGCAATATCGTAACCTTTTCTAAACCTTTACTGTACATTTAAACCAGGTTTCAGTGCAGCAATGTAAGCCTCTTATGAATAATTAAACATAAAATGTCAAATATAAATAAATGAGCGAATAAAAGGAAATTTCAGACTTATTCATCAATAAGTCTGGCTCTAATTCTCCACAGACGGACTGGAAGCTAAAATACCTCCAGCTTCTGTCTGTTTGCTCCCCATAGAACAAAATTTAGTCCAGAGTGATGAGTTAAGGATTCCACTTGATACACGTTTATCATCCGCTGTCCTCCTCCTTCTTCAACTTAATCTTTAAAGATGCAGTGAAAATGTGTTTAAGTGAGTAAGTGTCCAGGAAAAGTTCAAGCTTTTTATCAAAAACAAGTCATAGCGTTTTGCATTTTTTATGGCAATGACACAGTAAAAAAATCACTCGGTTAAAAACTGACTTAGGCTGCTATTTTTTCAAAATCCTGGGTTACTGAGTCAAAATGACCCCTCGTCTCTGGTGGTTTTTTTCAGTCTGGGTTAAGTTAAACCATCCCTGCGTCAGTTCCATATTGATCAGTTTTAAACCACTTTTTTAAACACCACTGACTTCTTGCTCCTGGATCCAATCCTGAACAAAGCACTGCCTACTTCAAACTAGATACAAACTAAATCGACTATTAATGAAATGGAAAGAGTAGGGCCTGTGCTGGATTTCTTCCCTCAGTGTCATCAGTGACTGGGAGCATGTAACCCAGCAGTAGCACCATGTTCAACATAAATATTTTCCCCACAGCCATGGAGAGCAGAGGGAACATCCAAGGAGGCAGTTCATTTTATCACTGGGAAATTAGGCACTGGTTAGAAAATGTTCTTATAGAGGAACAAAATGGTCTGCCAAGCTGAACCAGAGGGAAGGAGGGATGACATGATGAGGGGAGAGGGAGGGAAGGCACAGAACAAATACTGTGTGTAGATGATGTATTAATGTGAACAATCACTAACATGCAGCTCTTTTAAGCCATTACACATGTGTCTCTCTTTAAGCTGAAACTAAAACTCTCAAAGCAGCAAAGTTCCGTGCTGTGAGATTCATTAGGGGAGCCGTGGAGGACACAGAGAGGAAGCAGAAAAGGTTTCGTTTGGATGCTAACCAGAGCAATGCCAAAAGAGGAAAGGCTGATAAGACTGGAACAAGACCACTGTGTCCCTGGCTGCTTGGTTATTGTTGGCTGTTGGTGGCTCAGTTGCTATGTGGGTCCCAAACATCTGAACAAGAAAAATGCGTGTAGGTCACAACCTCTGTGAATATAGACAAGAAATAGCTGCAGCAGCATTTTACAGCTCAACATGATACTTAACGGGTCCAGCACTGAGTTGGTGTGATCTTCAGTGGCTCTGTTTATTTATTCATTCTTTTCATTTTGTTGACAGATAGGTGGATTAATCTTGTGTGTTTATATTTGAAGAGAGCCTGTTGAAAGATTGGAATCATCACGGCTGTTCCTGCAACTGTAATCTTAAGAATTTAAATAAAGTCCATGCTTTTATTTTTCCTCTCCTAAATGGGTGGGGTCAGTAATAGCTGGTGTTATTTGCCTGACTGTTGCACTCATGCTTGGGTCAGGGCCTGGACCTTTTTCCTCAGCTCTGAGGTCATTATTAATGACAGACTGTGATATCTGCTAGGCTCAGAGCGTCGATGATAGTTCTATTTTGTAAAGGAGTCTTATTGTGAAGGCTGTTTTAGTTTTTTGAAAATTACAGTAATTAAACTATGATCATAACACTTTCAATTTTGCCACAACATTAGACTTAAGTGAAACAATGACTTCTGTCTGTGGTGGCATGATGCCATCTACTGGTGAAACTGCAAACATCGACTGAGTGTTGATTTGATTTCAGTGATCGTAACCTGAGCAACTGCTCTTTGTTCATGCATGGTACTAATGCAGGGTTTTTACAAATGTCACACAGAAGTTAGTGACTTGTTTGACAGCAGCTGTTGATGGAAGGGAGTGCTATTTATTCACTGTATCCATTTGTGTTTGCATACATAACCTGAAAATAGCTTTGAAAGAGGACACAATGCACAAGTCATTCCTGGTCTCTTCTCAGAAGTACTGTGAAGGTTCAATGTTTGCAGCCAGAATTCACCGTCATCTCTCTCTGGTTTAATACACAGGTCACTTCCTAATGTAGCTTCACAGCTACTGCTGCAAAACTGAGAGAAAATGGGAAGTGGTTAACAAACCACACCCTCTGTTTGCAGTACACCCTCTGCCGTAGTGAAAGGTTATCTGAGGTCATGTCAGGAAAAAAACTTTGATCAGGCAGCCTCGCTGTGATGAGGTTTCCTAGCAACACATCACATCCAGAGCTGAAAAACATCAAGGATGACAGCATTCGCAAAGAAATCTGGATAGGGTGATGAGGTGAGGAGAGGTGTAGAGTTCAGCTTTCAGTGAGAGGAAAGAGGGTATGTGTGTGTGTGTGTGTGCATGAGACAGAGAGAGAGATGGCTTGTGTGCTGGTCCTCTCCTATTCATTTGGCACCTACATCTATTAGCTATAGCTCTGTACTTGACCTCAAGAGGGCAGCATGTTCTTGCAAAAAGAGATTTAGTTTGATCCAAGAGTAGCGGTGTGCTGTCAAAGATGAAAGATAAAACATTCACTCTATCAGCCATTAGCTGAGTCATGTATTATTACACTGTCTTTTCTACATATCTTATAGAGAGGTCTGTGCCAAAATGTACTGCCAAAAATGTACTTAACCAAATTATCACAAACACAGGCTCAGGGGAGAGTGACAGCTAATTTTCTATGTCCCCTCCATGGTGTCATTGTTACCAAATACTTAATGTTATTGCCAAACCAGCATACACTACAAATGCAGTTGCTTCCATACAGGGAAAATAGGGGTCACTGAAGAGTTTCATGAGCATAAAAATGACATGAATCATATGCTCTGGCCTTCACTGTCATCAGATCACAGCCCAAAGGAACACCTATGGGAGATTTTTGGAGTGACTGCGCTTAGCAACGCTTTCCACCACGATCATCAAACCACCAAATGAGGGAATATTATTTAGAGGAATGGTGTTCATCCTTACAGTAGCGTTTTAGAGACTACTTGGAAGGATCACTGTGGCTGTTCTGGTGGATTGTGGTGGCCCAACACCTAAGATCATCTTTTTATTACCATTTTTTTTTATTTGTGTATGTGTATCTACACATCTACACTCCCCATTCTTTCCTCACACAGGCCCACACACCGTTCCCACAGCTGTGTTTAAAGCAGTTTTCTAAGGCGACAGGAATTTTGCTGCACTGCTGAGGACACCACAGCCAATCCGTCTTCCTCTGTGTGTATAAAATGCAGAGCTGGACTCTGAAGCCTGCACGGTGAGAACAGCATTCCTTCGCCACAGGAAGAGCCTGGACTGGCTATGGATGTACAAGTATGAAAGGGATGTTCAGCCTGTCTGTGCTGCATTCCTCTGAAGTAAACCCTGCTCTGGCATTGGTATTTATCCTGGAATTATGCCGCAGTGCTGGGACATGAGTTGTCTGAAATTTAGAATAGTAAGTGGTAGTAATGATCTGAGGAAATAGTGAGTTCAAAACCACGGTCTTGTCATTGTCTTTCATCTCTTGCTACACAGTGTACATTGAGTTGTAAAAAGCTCTATCTGAGAACGATTTTCCCATCTTGAACAGTTCATTTAAATATTATTATGAGCCAGAAGAGGTAAAACTAAAGGAAAAGATTACACAACAATTAAAAAGGAAACATAACTATGCGTAGTAGAATTTGCCGCGGCTCAAATGGCTGTGAGCTGGAACGAGCTAGAAATATAAAACTTGGCCCAATAACTGGAAATGATGTGCATTACTTGCCCAAGAAGTATGAGCGCAAAATCGACCACATGGTGGTGCTGGAATTAAGGCTGGAAAAAGTAATATTCAAAAGGCCACGCCTCCTACACCCTTGCTCAATTGACTTAAAATTTGACACACAAGTCCAGTTCAATGTGCTCAACAAAAAAAGCCTCTTGGACCCTAAAAGTCTGTCTATATAATTGTTTTTGCTAATTTGCAAAAAATAAAATTTTTAGAACTTTTTCAATTTTGACTTTAGTAACACCAAAAA